TCAAGAAAGTTCGGATACGCCGATGACTGGGCCCTCACTACACGATGCAGAACACTAGAAACATCTGAAGAAGTTCTGACGGCAGACATATATATTGAGCAAATATTTTCGCAAGTGGCGGCTTCAACCAAATACATCCAAAACAGAAGTAAGTTGCTTTCACCTGAACAATAAACTTGCTGGAAAGGAACTCAACATACGCTTTGAAAATACCACACTTTCTCATAACAAAACACCGAAGTACCTGGGCGTAACACTAGACAGAACGCTATCATTTAAAGAGCATTTAACAAAAACTGCCCAAAAGTTGAGTACAAGAAATAACATTATACAGAAGCTCTGCGGTACCACCTGGGGAGCATCGGCTTCCACTCTCCGCTCTACTGCTTTAGCCCTTGTTTTCTCGACCGCTGAATATTGTGCCCCAGTTTGGCTACACAGTCCACACGTAAAAAAGGTCGACACTCAGCTGCACAGCACTATGAGGATGATAGCTGGTACAATTAAATCAACTCCCACCCAATGGCTTCCAGTATTAAGTCACATTCCACCTCCACATTTACGACGAGTTGATGCACTTACACGTGAATACAAAAAGATCATGAACAATATAAACCTGCCGATCCAACAAGATACCGAGGATGCACGAAATACAAGTTTACGTTCTAGAAAACCACCAATGAAAACGGCAAGATTGATACATGAGGAGTTCAACATCACGAATGCATGGTCCCAAGAATGGAATGCATGGCAAAATAACATGCCCTGTATTACCCACAAGCCACCAGGTTTTGATCTTCCACGTAAAACATGGTCCACTCTAAACAGGATCCATACCAGACATGGCAGATGTGCATACATGCTACATAAATGGGGAAAGATTCCGTCTCCCCAATGTGACTGTGAGAAGGACCAAACGATCGACCACATTATTGAGGAGTGTCCCTCAAGATCCTATAACGGTAGCCCTGAAGACTTCCTGTTTGCAACTTCAGAGTCAATTGATTATGTTAATACACTTGATGTTTGTTTGTAATTATTTAAAGTTTGTCATATACCTATATTACTAGTGTTTGTAATTTTGTTCTAAATGTGTTGTAATTGCCTTACGATAAATAAATAAATAATTCACATATTAAATATCTCTCTTCGCCGAGATCGGGCATTTTCTCATACCGGTGTTTTTTTCTTACGTGTTATAAAGAAAGAGTACATTTGATATTGTATAGTAAGTTACGGCCGTGTTGGGCCTCTCTACTCTTAAAAGATTTAATTATAAATCGATAAACTCAAAAGTGATTTTATTTCTCTGGAGCTATATTTGCCCACGTTAAGAATCCTTATCCTTCAACGGTCACTGAAGAACCAAACCTATGGAGATGCATCCATTCACAAGTTCTTTGAAGTAAGGCTTGGAATCCAAAGATTTCCAACTCTCGTAATGTAGGTAGCCAGGTACAGGGCTCCCTCAGATAATGTAAGAAGATGGTGCCGGAAATGTGAACTGTAATGGTCCAATTGGTAAAAAGAGGGCACCCATGAAACAGTACAATGTTGGTAGTCCTATGGAAAGAGTAGCAATCGACATTGCAGGTCCACTTCTAGAGACAAATGATGGAAATAAATATATCCTGGTAGTCATGGATAATTTTACAAAATGGACTGAGGCCTATGAGATACCAAATCAAGAAGCTGCTACCGGTGCAGAGGTACGAGTTAAAGAATTCTTTAGCCGATTTGGTGTTCCTTTGGAGATCCACTCCGACCAAGGACGAAACTTCGAGTCAACCCTTTTCCAAAACGTTTTTAAATTCATTGGTGTCAATAAGTCCAGAACGACATCCCTGCATCCTCAATCAGATGGAATGGTCGAGAGGATGAACCTAACGATGGGTAAACACCTCTCCAAAGTTGTATCAGAACATCAAAGAGATTGGGACCAGCACATTCATTTATTCCTATCGCTCGGCCGTAAATGAAACTACAGGCCAGACTCCAACCTGCCTGATGTTAGGTCGTGAAGTTCGTTTGCCCTGTGACCTACAGTTTGGTTGCAGACCTTCTGAAGAACATGTTGCAAGCGAAGATTATGTCGACAGCCTGAAGTTAAGAATGAACAACATTCATGAACTTGCCCGACAACACATCCAGTTAGCCAGTGACAGAATGAAAGATCAATACGATTCTCGATGCAAGAATGGAAGCTATGAAGTAGGTGATCTTGTTTGACTTTATAATCCACAACGTCGTCGTGGCTTGTCTCCTAAACTGCAAAGACAATGGGAAGGTCCGTATGAAATTAAAACGAGAATAAATGACGTAATATAACGTATTAAGAAGTTGCCGAAAGGTAAACCAAAATTAGTTCACATAAATCGGCTTGCACCTTATGCTGGATCAAATGAAACAGAAGAAGCCCGAACCCTTCAACATGAGATCAAAGATGACCGGCGACCAAGCTTTAATGTGTTTATGTCAAATTACGCAGACAGAAGGAGTGCTAGATTTGGCGTGACGACAGAAGTTCAGCAGGATCTTTTTAATGTTCCGCATAACGTCTCTCTAGCCCACTGTGTTTCCCAAGATCTTGAGATGAATAAAGGAATCTCATCTGTATTTTATAAGAATGTCGGTCGTTTAGATGAGTTAAAAAATCAGCAGCCTAAAGTCGGAAGAGTACTGAGATTAGCAGATGGCTCTCGATATTTGCTGTATATGGTGACCAGGAAGTCGTATACAGACAAGGCAAGCTACGAGAATATATGGCGTGCTCTAACTAATTTGAAGAAAATCGTGTGCAATTATGACATCTCAAGAATTTGGAGTTAACCAAGATAGGCCATGCACTAGAAAATCTGGATTGGAAGATTGTCAGAAGCATGCTTGAAGTGATATTCTGAGAAACCGGCGTACGAATTACTGTGTGTTGCATTAACCCAAAGAGATCGTGTCCTTCAAAGTCAGTAGACTGTTATTTCTTTTTGAGGGGGTCATGCAGAGTTGGAGAGGCCTGTAGATTCAGCTATCCTGGGCCTACATATAGAGTTGCTGATCGGCACGCTCAGATCTAAGAGGGGAGCAATGTTACGAACATGCTCTCGGCGTGGCTCATGTAACGGTTGTATCTCGAAAGAGGCATCGAGAAGTTTCCGGCGATATCGAGTGCGAGAGAGAACAACCCGTCACGTAGACGAATTAGAGGTGGGACTACCGCAGAAAATTCGAGAATAATACGTGAAAACCATACTCAAAGACCACAAAAATTAAATGTATGGTCAGAGATAGTAGTTACTTATTCAATTGGGTCATTTTTTGTCGAAAGAAATTTAACGTCAGATATTTGGTGTAAATGTTCGGCGTTATTTAGATTAGATATTTCCTGGACGATAAATTGGTAGGCAAGGTAGAATTGAATGGCCTCCACGTTCACCCGATTTCAATCCTAAAGATTATTTTTATTAGGGATACTTGAAAAATTCAGTTTACAAAACTTAACCAGCAAGTCTTGCAGAGCTAAGGCAACGAATTATCAATGAATCTCGAATAATTTCTAGACAATCATGGAGAAATGTGGCCTTCTACCATCGATTAGGGTGCTGTCAACTCACAAATTGAGCACATTTTGAACACTTAATAACGTAACTACTATGTTAAAAAATGTTCTAAACTATCAATTGTTACGTTTTAATGTATTTGAAAATAGTTAGTATTAAAAAATTTATTGAAACAATTTAGGCGTTGCCAGACTTCGGTTTTATGTATTGATGACCTTCCAGATTACATAAAATCATAAGTGTTACATGTGGTTGAACTCGTGTTGAATAGGAGATTCCAATAATGACTGAATATACAGGGTGATGTATTTGAAAAACCAAAGTTACTAATAATATAAGAAAAACGGCAAATCTGGCAACACTGTAAATATCAACTATGGAATCTCCGTATCCCAAAATAGGCGTACCTCAAATTTTGTACAATTATGGTTAGCATTTTACGAGACAATTAGCCGTTTCCAGACTTTTGGGCCACTCTGTATATTATTACCACTACTATACATGTTCTATCCATATCAAAAAAAGTTGACTTTTGTTGACCAGTAATATTTTGAAGGGATTTCAAACAATTTAGACTGCATTAAATAAACGCTCGTTTTATCAATATTTTTAGAGTATGTACTTTTGTTTGTTTACAGTTTATTAAAGCATTGGAATTTGCATTTATTGATTTTTTGTTGGTCAGTTTAAAACGAATTTCCGAGATTTAAACTCTTTTTGTATCCTAAAATAAAAACTAAAGTGATTAAAATGTTTGTAACGCCATATAAAGACACCCATGTACTGAAAACTTTATGCAATTATTTATTGAGTTCATAAACAATAATTTTTAATATTTTTTATATTTAACTCACATAACTGGTTTATCAAATCATAAAATCATACTGTGTTGTGACTCTTTTGCTTGATTCATTATAAAATTAAAAAGACCCTTAATTAAATTTCTGCTGTGGTAGACGCCAACCTTCATATTGTGGCAACAGGAAATGCAGGATTGTATGTTTGCTTAGGACTTGCATCTGCATATTGTATACACGTTTATTTTGTTTTTGTTGATAGAGATAAACAAGTTTTATCTCGTTAGCCTACTCTTGATGTAGGACGTGTGTGTGGTTTATGTTCATTCACGAATGCATCATAAAATAAAATAATTTTTTAACGTTTGAAAAGAGGTTTATGTGCTGTAGGTTAAATTTTTAAAATTAAAGTTGTGTTTATTTTGACGGTAGTAGTGAATATTTATCAGTTGGTAAGTCATATTCTATACACATACCAAGTGACATAAAAATCCGAACACCTAGTATGTATTATTATATTTTGAAATTATTTTATACATTTATACAGTGTAGCAAAATAAACAAACTAATAAAATTTCAATATGATTCAAACAACTTACAGGGGTAAGTCAATTAATAATGTGTTAATGCACCTCGACGGGCAACATACTCTTTGATGCGCCTGGGCTCGCTTCTGATTAGGTGGTCAATATCCTCCTGGGGTAACTCGTTCCATGCCCTATTTAACTCATACCGAAGTGCTCCAAAAGTATAAGGAGGATGTTCTAAATTAAGAAGTCTGTGAACTTTGAATTCGACGATAAATTGGTCACATCCCAATTGGTCTTCTATGTTCTGTAAACAATCGATTTGCAATAGACCTGGTAGTGAAGAAGCGGTGTCTTAGAGTCATTAACCTTAAAGCCGGGTCCAGACTATGTAACAAAACATGTTAAAAACAAAGTTGTACAACAAATTATGTAACAAAACAACAAAATGCGGATAACTTTTGCAGAATTTTGCAATATGCCGTTATAGCAGCAGCAGCTTGTGTAATTTTGTGCAAGCGATACCGGCGTGTTAAACGAAGATTTTAAGTGCGGCCTTTATTAGCAGCTTGAGAAAAATATAGTGGTACAGCTCTTATTTTCTAAGAAAAGTATTTCGAATATTGTGCCAGAAGTTTGTGACGCTAGCATTGACTGTTTAACAAACACGTTGCATGCTAATCACGCCTATGAGCGTCAATATATCGCTTCAGTCATATGCTGATGACGCACATGTGAGTTTTTAAGATACATCGCACATTGAAATCAAAAGTGGCACTATATAAAAAACTCAATTTTACAGTATAGCTGTTTAAAGTTTTTTAACATGATTTTTATGCTCAGACTTAAAAATAAATTGAAAACCAGCAATGTGATTAGTTTTAAATAATAATATAATTATCTCTTTTTCAGTATAAAATAACTTTTAAATAAATTACCTAGTGTTTCTTGAAAAAAAAAGGTATTTAAAAAAAAACTTCAGTATAGTGTCACTTTTGTTTTTATACAATCAATTATTTTTTGTTTAATGGCATATTTAATTCATTAACACTTCTACTATTCTACTACTCCAAAAGAGTAAATGAATGTCAGGAATAAAATAAAAACTAATTTTAGATGAATAAAGTATTTATTTGTATGTACTACAAAAGAAAGTCTTACTCGAATCAGTCACGACAATATCACGCAATGTTTTAATTAAAATAAAATACTTTAAGACTATCAAAATAAACTAAGAAAATAAACAAATCGTAACAAAAAATGCAAATAGGCATTTGTAAAAATGTGATAATACTTAAGAGCTATTACATTTTCAATTAAAAATACTTTCATAGTAGGATCGGTAATATCTAGGAATCAACCCCGCATCCACAAGACTCCTCACGTCATTTTTCTTCCTTTCGGATATATCCAATTTTTGGTGGTACAGTGGTTTAAGTTCTTGAGGTCGGCTGTTTCTGGATGTTCTTTTTGCCAAATCAAGTTCCTTGAAGTCATCAAAATAAGACGTTTTATAGAATATTTTAATCTCATTCATTACGTTCTTTTCAATTTTAATGACTATTATATCAAACAATTTTACAACCGCACCATCAACACTCCTATTCAGCTTAATAACTGGCAGTTGTTTCAAATCCATAAAATCTTCGTATCCCATCTCATTTACAATGTACGGCGTCCCACGTTTTTTCGAACTTCTGATGGCACAGACGTATTGGGAAGGTACGTAAATGGGTCCAGATTTAAGACTTTTTTTACTTCCTTCTCAATCGTTGAATGTACTGCGTCCCCTTCATTTTGTGTGGCCTCGGATTAAGAACTTATGGGTTATTAATTTTACTTTGAGATTTAATACTGCATATACGTACATTCCAATGATAAACTGGTTCTTCTGTTGGCCACAGCAGTTATCAGAATAGAACACTATATCAAGATCTTTATTAGCGAAAGAAGACTTCTTTTGCAAAAACTTCAAAACACAGCTACCTATTTCATTGGCTCCACGATTGCCTTGAGATTCATCCCAAAAGTAACATTCAACATTGTCTGTTTTCAACTCCGATATGGTAAAATTCAAACAATTTATTTTGGACTTATAATAGAATATTGATACGTCTCCTTTAGGAACCGTCATTACCGCTTGTAAGTCATAGCATGCAACGATAAAACAATCTGTCACTCTTTTTTTGTCACTAGCTTTTTCTTCGCGACTTTTTTGTTTTTCTGCTAAATGGTGGTCATAATCTTCCTTCAAAGCTTCCTTTCTGGGATCTTCAGCCAGCTTATATATTGTGCATTGTTCACATTGGTCCTTTTTAGGTACGAACAAACTAATTATTAAATTCTTTTAATATGCATATTAAATGTCGCATAATACTTTAAATCCTAATTATCTAATTAAATATACATTTTTAAATAAAATAATGACACTTTTCTTAAAATGACGTCTATTTAATATGACAATAAATAAAAAATATGACATTTAAACCACAAAAATGACACTAAGCACAATATGCCCCTTATTTATTCTATATAAACACAGTTATCTGGAATAGTTGAGTAAAATATCGGCACTTTACAAAATATGCCAATAACGAAATCATAATTTGTTGTATTTTTACTATCAAGTAATTAAAAAAACGACATACAAAATATGTCACTTTTTCACTCACCTCAGCTAAGACTCGTTGCAGCAGCTGGACCTTTACTGGTTTAGTGTCGGTTTATCGGTCACGACCCATGCTCGCGACAACAAAGTAAGAAGTGACATTAGCGACGTTTATAGAAAACCGAGCGAGCTATTACAACGGAGATCTTTGCAACAGACGTAGTTTTGCTCGTAGATTTTAGATGTCGCTGTAACTAAAAACCACCGAATTTTGTATAATGCCACTTTTGATTTCAATGTGCGACATATGTCTTGTATTGTCTAGCATAAATACCCTTATGTATAAAAGTTTACTTTTTTGAAGAGTTTGTAGAGGAAACTATCTGTTAACCTATTTATCAAGCGGTTCTTAAAAACATTTTCTACTTTTCCTTTTACTACAAATAGTTTCATAGTTCCTGTTCTTATGGCTAAAGTAAATTATATATTCTCGGTTTACTTTTTTTATTAGCTTGTCGTTTATATGAAGCTGTTCCAGAAGTGACATGTTGGTTCTGCTGTCTTATTATTTCTTTTTCTTCTTTTAGAATGTTTCCATTACCTTCTTCAATTTAACTTTGGTTTCGATCATTTATTCTCGGGTGCTGTAGTAAATCAAATTATTTTCGATTTGCTTCGTAAATTGGGGTTAAAAAATAATATTGTTTCTGGTAAAATTATTTTAAAAAAAGCAATAGAAATTTCAAGTGAACTAAGCATTGATATGAACTTATGAAGGCTTCTAGTTCTTCTAGCTTTGAGAAATTTTGAAAACGACAAAATAGTTGCTTCAAATTTATATATGACGAGATGGATTTAAAGAAGGACTCACAATAATTCTGTTTTACACCAATACTATAAAAATAAAAAACAAAAGAAAAGTAATCAAAACAGAAAATCTTCAAGTACAAAAACTAATCCATAAAATTATTTAAATTTAGATTTTGTATTATCTTTCTTTTGCCATATCAAATTTATTAGATTAATATATTTTCTAAATTTAAATTAACTTTATTCTAATTTTTGCTATTAGACATTTTTGTTTTGGATATTTATTATATTATTAGAAAAGATAATGCTGATTATCACAGTCAACAACCTAAATCCGTATCTATCTATTACAATTTTATTATTTTATTTATTAAAACCGTATCTGTTATAGAATTCCGTGCCTACATAATAGGTTGCCATGCTTTTTAGTTGTCAAACTATTAAACAATTTAAAAATAAATGCAAATAATAATTCACATTGTAAAAGATCGAAATATAGTACTTCGTGTGGTAAAATGAATGAATGAAAATATTATAGTACTGATCAGTTATCATATACTATATTAAATAATAATTCATCTAGTAAAGATGAATTTGGTAAATCCAATAATAGTGTAGTTCTGTCAGATGAAGACACAGGTATGTTTATTATGATTCCAATACGAGATTCCAACTTCATATGTATACTTGTTTTGAAATGTTCATTTCAATTATCATCAACAGAATTATTTTGCAGCATTAGATTTTCTTGTAGAATTGCTTTATTTTCTTTTTTTTTATATTGAAGAAAAAAATGATTATTCTGGATTGGTTGAAGCGTTACATGAAAATGTAGATAAGAATGAAAATATACAGGAGCCAAATTTAAGTGAGGATTCGTGAACAGGCGATCCTATTGGAATGCAAAATTTTAATTTTACCTAATCTTCTGGGTTATTAGTAGATCTTTGAGGGACTGGTCTTCCATATAATTTGTTTTGCCTTGTAGAAGATATTTTTTTTTTGCCTTGTAGAAGATATTTTTTTTTTTTTGAGATGATAGTGCAGGAAACAAATGTTTCTGCCGAATCGTTATTTTTATCCGGTGTTGCAGAATATTCACATATAAAATCAATGGAAGCCTGTGTCTGTTAATGAACTTAAAGTATTTTTTGGACTCACATTGCATATGGGAACATCGAAAACCAATAGAATCCAGGACTACTGGAATACTGATCCTCTTTTTCAATTGAAATGTTTCCATTATAATAGGAGCCGAGATCGTTACTTGCTTATTTTGAGATGTCTACATTTTGCCAGAATTCCAGAAGAGGGTATAATAGAAGATACTTCAATAATATAATGGCTGAAATATATCAACCAGGAAAAAACTACCCCTTGATGAAAGTATGGTATTGTGACCTGGAAGCTTAAAAGCAAACGTCATAAATTGTATGTGTTGGCAGAACCTAACGGCTTAGCGCTTTGTATGAAATTATATGCAGAACATTACGACTCTGCAGATGGAAAAGGCCACTCTAAAAAAGTAGTTTTAGAACTAGTGCTAAATTAAAAATGATCTTATCGAAACGAAATAAAAATACAACCCTTACCTTTATTAAAATATAATGAGTTTATGAGTGGAGCTGGCAAAGATCAAATGCTTGCTTACTATCCATGTGAGCGAAAGACGCTCAGATGATATAAAAAATAGGTATTCACATATTTCAAGTTTTGTTATTAAATTCCCATTATTTGTACAAAAGTTATATATTCGATACACTGGCAAAAAATGAATTTATATGATTATCGTTTAGAAATTATCAGACATCTTTTAAAAAATTCTGAAATAATATTGGTCACTCCAGCATACAAACAACAGACAAGCACATTTCAAACATTTTAAATGT